CAACCGACCGGCCTCGGTGCTCGCGATGGCACTAAACTTGTCGCTCAACGTCCAGCCGCCGATCGAGAGGCCAAACTTGGTGTTGGGGAACTGCTTCTTGAGCTTGAAGCCTTGGCCAAACGACCCGTACACGTTGTTGCCCGTGTCGCTCCACGAGTCGGTCGGGTACCGCTTGTCGGTTGCGGCCCACGAGTCGTAGATGCCAACCGTGCCGTCCGCGGCGGGCTTGCCAAAGGCGTAGTTGATGTGCGTGATGCGCGACCAGTCGAGATCGTAGAGGTGGAAGTTGCGGCCGTAGATACCCCACTCCATGAAATAGACGACGTTCTTGTAGCCGGTGGCGTCTACCGACGACGCGGCGAGCGCAGCAGCAGCGAGAAGAGGCTTGGAGATGACGACCATGATGGAAATCGGAAAATGAGAGCTGTGTTGGATCTCGAATTCGACGCTACTCTCCGTGTTGACCCTCCCGCGCCCACGCTAAAAGAGCAACGGCTGTACTGACCGAAGCGGTCGTTTGGTGTAAATATTGGCACGCATACCAAGACGAGCACCTTGAGGTTCAAAAAGCAAACATACTACCGTAGTAGCCTATCTTGGTGGGACGATGCTTGGAGGGTCGTACAATGCTTCAATTCTCAGATCCGCGAATGGACGCCGAGTTCAAAGGTGGACGTTCACGCGTGTTCGCTCAAAACGTGTGTTTTGGCGCTCTATATTCTATGGCCGCCGCTGCTAATGTAGTGCAATATATCAGACCAGGAACGACCAAATGGTCCATATTTTGACATTTATAAGTGGATGCTTTGTGCATGTATTGGGTTGAGATTGATGACGGTGATTGGATAACATGTGTGCAAAATAAGATCGATAGAAGCAGGCAGGGTTTGATGTGTTCGACATTACTTGCGAGAGTTCTCATCGTCCGTCATGGTGCAACTGGGGGACGGTATGCAACTTGATGCTGTGGGCGGTATGCGCATGGGTGCCCTCGTGCAATCCGCCGTAAGGGCTGCGCCTACCGATTCGGAAGCCGCTGCAGTACAAGTTGGCCCTGCTGTGCTCGTGACTAACTCACCAGCTTCAAGAGACATCGTCCCACCGCGAATGACCAAAGTTGGACAAAAACGTGTTGCTATCTGTGCTGACATACCGGTACGCAGTTGTTCGTTTCCATACAAAGTGGCATGATACTGAACCAGAACTTCTTCAAAAGTCACCGTCGAAACCGATGGTCAGCCAGCAGAAAGCGTCGAGCTCCCTGCAGCCCGTGCCGTTGATACAGCTGAAATTGCTCCGATTTACCCCTTTCGCTCATCCATTGTGCCACCGGTGAATCAAATTTTAAAAAAATCAAGTCATCGCAGACCAAACGCACTCGAGTAAGGCAAGCCCATAGACGCCCTTACTCGTCTAGTAAGATTCTACCAAACAGTCACACTACAGGGTACTGCTTGCTTCGGGCAAAGCCGCGATCTGTGAATGCTTGGCCAAATGTTCAAGCGTAATGTATCGGAACCAGATGACCCAAGGTATCCTGTGTCATCTACAATGAAGCTGCAGATGCAAGCTGCTCAACCTATTCAACGACTCAATGATCCCACCTGATTCGCTGGCGCTGCACATCCGTTGGCTCGGCTCAGATCCGACATTTTCTCGCGTCGAATTCGAGATCCAACACAGCTCTCATTTTCCGATTTCCATCATGGTCGTCATCTCCAAGCCTCTTCTCGCTGCTGCTGCGCTCGCCGCGTCGTCGGTAGACGCCACCGGCTACAAGAACGTCGTCTATTTCATGGAGTGGGGTATCTACGGCCGCAACTTCCACCTCTACGATCTCGACTGGTCGCGCATCACGCACATCAACTACGCCTTTGGCAAGCCCGCCGCGGACGGCACGGTTGGCATCTACGACTCGTGGGCCGCAACCGACAAGCGGTACCCGACCGACTCGTGGAGCGACACGGGCAACAACGTGTACGGGTCGTTTGGCCAAGGCTTCAAGCTCAAGAAG